TAAACAATAAAAACAAACATCTGGGGCTGTATTTATCAAACTCAAGAATGCTGTTAAGAATGGACTTAAGYGTAAAAACAAGTCTCAGCTAAAAGCTGAGCCTAAAAGTCATTTATCAAGCATCTCAGTCTCACTTTAAGCAAAGTGTGTCTAAGATTAAAAATCAAGACTTGACAGCATCATGTCTGATGATAGTTCATATTCTCTAGAAATATTAGAAATATCCACCTTTTAGTCCAACATTATGACGCTGGTAACCAGTTTTTCCCTCACAGTCTTTTTTTAATGATGTTTTCCACACCTTCTTTTAGTTCCTCTGTATTGTAACTGAAAATCACACTCAGGTGGGAGACCCCCGGACCACTTAGTGCAGTTTGAGGTGGTGCAGAGTATTCTTGACGAGGACACAGCTCTGTCTTCTCAGTCCATCTCGAACCCCTAGTGTCAACTCTGAACCACTAAAGTCCAAGAATCACTCTTACTCTCCTGAAAAGTTGAGATTGATCCAGAGTCTTAAGAGTAAAAGCAAATTATCAAAACTCTTTAAGTGCTGAGAATTTCTTAGATTTACTCCTATTCTCAGACTGTAGTGTAAAATTCCACTGTAAGAAGTCTGATAAACACGGGCCCAGGTGTATATAATAAACTTTTTTCAAGGCTTCATTTCTCAGGATGATTTTAGTCWAAAACAGAACTTTATTTTTAATGAGTTGTGGTGTTTTCTTTTCTCAGTCGTCTCTTTAGCAGCTGAATGAGTCGGTGGCAGACAGGCTTCCACCAGCTGCTCTGATACAGAAGTAGTTTACAAAGAGCCACCGAGATAAAAAATAAAGACACGCAGGACGGCAGACTGGAGGGAATAAAACAGGGTGTGTCTTTAGTTGGGCTGTAATCTCTGAGTTTTCCTCAGATAAGAACTTAAAGTCTGGCTCTGCTCCGGCTTTATTAGACTGTTCAGATCTGGTCTCATGGGTCCAAACCTCTCGCTGTCCTCACTTTATTTTGTTACKTTTCCCACAAACTGTTATCAGTTTGTCTCATCTGCCTGTTTCAGCTCCTCTATCAGCCGTCCGTCTCTTCATCCATCTTCCTCGTCRTTATTTCGAGTTGCTGAGCTTCCATTGATATTCCTAACCGAGGCTCAGTGCAGAGACAAAAATACACCCTGCTGCACATTGATCTGGTTTTTTTCCTCCTCCTGCCTCTCGTCGTCTCAGACTCCACATCTGGTAACAAACACCTCCTTTCTCTCCAACACCTAATCCTCATCTCTGCTCCTCTCTGCAGCTCCTCCTCACTCGTTGGGTTTCATCGAGGCCTGCAGCGTCACAACAAAACAAAACTGCTTCGTCTTTTCAAACTGTGTGGCTTCTGCCCAATATTTCCTCACAGCTGTTCCTATTAAAAATACAACAACTCCCTTTGAAGAGCTGCAATATTTACGAGTGTTTAGCCACGATTCAGTCTGTGATGTAACAAACCAGCAGACTGCTTTTATTAGTTAATAACTATGGTTTTAAACGATCATTAAAAACCTTCAGTTTAAAAAATAAGTTAAACTCAAAGAAGTGTCCCAAACTTAAACAATCCTTTTTTATTTCTTTGTCATTACAGCCTATTTAAATGTATGCTTTCCTGTGATCCATACCATTAATTTATTTCTGCACTTCACTGTGTTGTAACTAATGCGATGCAGCAGGAATACGACAATTAGTGTTTGTGTGAAGTCACACGCACTCAGGGATTTCTTGGTTGTCACATCGGCTCACAGCAACGCTCCAACGTTAACACGATTAAAACCAAACTCTAAATAAAGACGGCRACACACAAACAGCATTTTCCCCTGACTTTAACCTGAATCAGGTCAGAGCTGGAGCGAGCGACGTCTCATTTTAACCAGGGATTACACACATTCTGTAATCTGAACCAGCAGCTTCTGCTGCAGGTCTGACAGCATCAAGTGGCAAAAACTACACACCCATGATCCCATCTCTGGATCCAGAGCCACCAGGTCCAATCAGGTTTGGACTACAGTTTGATGAAACAATATTTGCCTGGAACAAACGGTCAGCAGTGTTTCTGTTTGTGTCTTTGAGGATCACATCCAAACGCTTTGTTCACACTAGTGGTGTCACCATACCAGAATTAAATTAATTAATTCCAAATAAACATTTCAAGTGAAAAGTTTGTTAGTTCCATGTTTTAGAAAGTTTAATCACAACAAAAATCTTTGTAATCAGTTGTTTTTAAGTAAAACCCAGAATGAATGTTTCCTGTGCAACTCCCACACTGCTGCCGTTACGCCACGTGTGACGACACCCCTGCTTCCTATCAGGGTGACTCATTGACGGTGACTGTACAGTCCTCACATGCTGCTTACCTGCAGCGTCCCCCGAAGTGCTAATCTGTCACATTCAGCTGCTTATCTCTTTAAAGCCGCGCCCCGACCGACTCAAACAACCTTCAGACGACGCTTGGATGGAGTCCTGAGAGATATTCTTAATGACTTGTGTCACCTGTGACAGAAAGGAGACTCGTGTGTCGGTGACATGCAGCTCTGTGTTTGTGAGGATCTCTTAATGTTTCTGTCAGAGCTCGTTAATATCCTGCTGAGTCACCACAACACGGCAGATGCAAACTTTGGGTGTTTTCTCGTCTCGGTTTTGTGACACTTTCTGTACGTGTGGAGGAGTGAYGGCAGGAAGCAGCTGTCAGCCCTGAAATGATGCAGATTTATGGAAGTTTACTCAAAGCTCAGTTCAGGTGGTTCAGGTGTGTGCAGGAGACCCCAGAGACCAAGTTCTTTCAGTAAAACACTTCCATCAAACGGCAGCAAAGATCAGTCCRTCTTTAAGCTCCGGCCAAGTCCCGGAGACACCTGAGCTTTCAGAAATGAAAAGAGGTGGGCTGAACATGTGACGAACGTCTCCCTCAGTTTAATGATCCTCTTTATTTAAATGGATCCCTGATTAGTTGTAACATTAGACTTTATTTGATAAACATATATTTTAACTGTAAAATAGACAAAAAATACTGTAGCCTGTTTAGTTTTGTAAATTTTAAAAAAATATGTTACACTGAGGGAGCCATTTACCCACAAAGCATTCTGGGTAAATGATGACGTGGATAGGTCATTGGTGCAAGGCTGCTAGCGAGCTATATCCACCCTGAAGGTTAATCTTGGACAATATCTGATGATCGACTCTTTTAAATGAAACCAGAGAGCGYTGACAGAGAGGAGAAGGTAGAAATGACTCAGTCTGTAACTGAAAATATAGATGGAGGACAACAGAGCTGCTTCATGGAAGAAGAACCTCAGCTTAGCCTGTTAGCCGCTGTGCTAGTACAGACGCTATATTGCCTTATATGTATTAGCTCGGTGCTAACACGACAAACAAGTTAAACTGAGGTCCTCCATCCATATTTTCAGTTACAGGCTGAGTCATTTCTACTTTCTCCTCTCTGTCAACGCTCTCTGGTTTCATTTAAAAGAGTCGATCATCAGATATTGTCCAAGATTAACCTTCAGGGTGGATATAGCTTGCTAGTAGCCTCGCACCGAGGACCTGTCCATGTCATCATTTACCCAGAATGCTYTGCGTGTAAATA